CAATGTGAACCACAAATTACTGTATCAGCTTAGAAAACTGTGTCACTGGAAGAAAATGTTGCTAGTACTTGATACGGGAGTAGTGTACTTTTTGCTATAAATTCACATTTTCCTGTGGTAATTTTCCTCTCCCCTTCTGAGTCTTCTGCCACATTCCTTATCAAGTGACCAGAGTTCACCTAGGAGGGATGAACTCACTGTCTCAGTCAAGCTTCTCTACATCAGCAGCTTTATCAGCTCCTGGTGACTCAGCGTAACCTTTAGTATTCAGTAATGCTACTGGGAAAGAAATTAATGCAATCCATCCCATCAGATCAGAGATTCTGCTAACTATGAAGACTGAAGAAGAGCTGAGAAATCCCTTTGAAATAAATTGGAGCATTTGTTTCTTCTTTTTTTTTTTTTTTCCTAAAGCTCTTTAACATTTGAGCAGAGGCTACCTTCATATACATTTATTAATAGAATAAAAGATCCATTCAGTCATGCATAAAATGGCATCTAGAAAGAGTGCAACAGAATGCACTCTTCTCGTTTTGAATAACATAACTAATGCTCATGCTTTTCTGTCTCCATTTTAATTCTTGCAGTAGAATATCGTTCCGTGCTGTAAAAACAGTTCTGAACATGATGTGATTAACCTTGGGGTCCCCCCATCCCCTCATCTCAAAGCCCCCTCGTACATGGCCTATGCTTTCTATTCATGTTCAACCATCTGATTTCCATATCATCCCGCTCAGCCTCACAAGCGGCTATTAGCATAACATAGCTTTAGTGTGACATTGATTGAAGCCAGTGCTTGCTGAATGCAGTATCAAAGCATAATTTGCCAGAAATCAAATCTAATTTACTGTGTACTATTTAAATTTCTCAAAAAAAAAAAAAAAAAAAAAAAAAAAAAAAAGAAGTTTCAATAGAAGTATACTAGGTCTGTAGTCTTAATTGTTCTTTTTTCATATTTTTTTCTAGTCTCCTGGAATCCAAACAATATATTTGCTTTTAGAGCCATTGTCTTTGACTTTCAAATGTCAATTAAGCAAGAGTTTTTCCGCTCTGTTTATTCCAATCCAGTTAATGTTATATCTGAAACAGTAAAGGATAATAGTTTGATAGGCACAACACTCAGTTTGCTGCTTCATAACATTTTTTTCAACAGATTCTTCTAATGACCTTAATGTTTAGCTTGAATTAAGCATTAAAGTACCACATAACTTTAACAGCTGAAGCATATCAAGCCTGCTGTTATTTCTCTAACTGTACCTTTTCAGAATGTTTTAAAAATTCACCTACTTTGGGAGAAGCAATAATGTCTTGAATTAGGTTTTGTCCAATGTTCGGCTGAAGCTGGGCTTTGAGGAAGTCATGATCTCAGTTAACCTTTCTGCAAAATAGAAGTAATAATGTTTATCTATCTTTACAAACAGCATCTATAGATGAAGATAATGAGCTCTATTTTTAGGAAAATTGAAGAGCCCAAGTGCTTATTCTGTCAAAGAAGTCTTGCTGTCCCTGAGCGGGGCTACGTTGCATTCTCTGGGGATAAAGGCAGTCTTATTGCTTTGGTAGTTATACTTGACCAGGAATTACTCCTGCAATTAACTGTTACTTTCAGTTGTGAAATTGCATTATTCAACTGGAAATTGATAGATAAAACTGATATGATGAAAACATTGTTTAAATGCTGTAAACAAGGTCATTTTTATCAGAGGCTGTCTCTAAACAGAGCTATACCTAAAGATGACAACAAACTGGAACAAAATGAGGGTTTCCTTCATTATAGAACCCCGTCTTTGGGTACATTAAAAAAACACATACAAGGTTTTATTTTTCCAAAATGACATTTTCATGTTCTTTAAAATTATGATATTAAATAGTTTGGCTGAAGGAATTGGTTTTGTGCTCTAATTAGCATAGTGACCAATAAAAGTCAGCTCCTTGTGAGATCAAGAGATTATATTTAAATAAAAGCTCTGATTCATTTATTTATTTTTATAGTCAATTCTAATAATTATGGCTGCAGAGAAAAGCTAGAAAAGATATCCTTGCATAACCATACATCATTATTTACTGGAGTCTTTAGAAAGTTTAAACCAGTAGCTATGTGGCCATGGATCCTCGTCATTTGGATTATCTGGACTGAGCTACAGCCTTAATTCTTGGTTCTTTTCCTTGTCTCTTTTTGCAAAAGAAAGGATCAGGTTCTTTCTCTTAGGAAAGTCAGAGATATTCAAAGTTAGGGGTAGGTAAAAAACTAGAAACTAGGTAGAAACTAGATGTTTATCTCTTATTGTTCTTTGACTACCAAATTACCTTAATTTGATCCTTAGAAAGTCTGCTACAGCAACAAGTTCAGTGCTATTTCATCTGCTCAGAGCTTTGAATTAGTGACTTACAGTACAGCCTTGTAAGTGTGAGAATATTTCAGATGAACTCTTAAACTTACCTACCTTGCATTTATTCAGTTATGTGATTTGAAAGATAGTCTCGTGGAAATGCCATGCCCTTCTTCCTTCTGTTGAGCTGTCTCAGAGCACCATCTACATAACATACCCCCAAGTGCACCAAGCATGCCTACGAAGTGATCTTAGGCATCGATCATGCTTATGTATGATCTACGGCATGGTGTCCTGACACCAGGTTTTTAACGTCACGTTAGAAAGATTACGGTCTTGAGGCCACCCGTAACACAGCGTAGATATAGGACTCATGCATAGTTCCTGTCAAATGCAGATATAACACCTGTAGAGGTTAGAGGTTTTCTGCTGTCCCTTCTGCCTGAGCTTGCTATTGATTCCATGTTAATATCCTGGGCGATGAGCTTCTATGGCTGAGCAGCAAACACTGAATTAATTCAGTGACCTTTATTAAGTGGGTGGTCAGAACTGTAGAGATACCTTAGTGTAAGGTATGCCTATAGGAATGGAGGTTTCTAATTCACAGCTTGAAGGTCTTTCTCTCTTTC